CCTGAGCAATTTGTTTTTGTTTTTGTTTTGGCGTACCTGGGTGGCCTCAAATCACCAACTTTTTGGTTAATAGCTGAGCTATTCGTTTCTTGAGAATGAGTGCTCGGGTTGAAGCTGTTGCAGCCAGAGGTCCAAATGCCCTGACCATGGGCAAAGTGACCAAGTTCACGGCAGCTGATGGCAAGTCTGAGGCTGCCTCACCTAGGAGTATGAACCTCGAAAGACTTCTGCCCTGATGGGCAAATCCGAACACCAATTGGAAACACTGGACGTTCAAACACAGCAGACAAAATACACAATGGGAAGCACTACACCCTTAATGACATCACAAACCCAAGTGGATAGGCTGCTTCAAGAAATGGCCGATGAAGCTGGCCTCGATCTCAATATGGAACTACTATAGGATCAGGCAGGATCTGTCGCTTCCATGGAACAGGACGAGCCATCACAGAGACTTGCTCGTCTACGTGATCAGGTGTAATTTAAGGAACTGGCGCTTTTGTTTACCTGCTTCTGAAATATTTTCTGTGTCTATGTGGGGAAGTTGGTCTCCGATTACGCTAAGAACGCCATATGTTACAGAATGCTTCAACACTATGAATACATGATGCTTTCTTTGGCCGTTCTGTACTTTTCAGTACTTTAAGAAATTCTAGAGAGTTTTCCGCCTTGACAGGTTTTACAATTTTGTATGTTATGTCGAAAAGTATGAGGGACAGTTATATTGGTAGATGTCTTTGACCAAGCGAGCATTAGCTGGTTGTACATGAAACACCTTCCTCAAAAAGTACATCAAAAATCTAGCACCGAAGTACTACAGAATGAAGTACTTTATACAGAAAAAAAAATGGCACATCAGTGGTATGGAATATTACACAACCACTAACGCATGTTTCTAATTACTAGTATTTATTTTTAAAAATATTTGATCATGAAACAAGGAGAATGTACAATTATATGATAATGTAATACATATATACATAGACACGCATATATATGAATGGAGACCATACAGAGGGTATAAAAACACAAATAGTTGGTTTGTTAGGAGTTACGGATGACATTTTTGGCACTTTGTATTCCTGCTAAATTGTTTTATGATAGCAACAAATGAAAGATTCAATGTTTTGCACCTGGCCGTTGTACCATAAGAGATATTGAAGTTTGAGAAAGTCCATGATGATTGAGAACATCACGGAACTTCTGGAAAAACAAAAGCTGAGGAAGAAAATGTGGTCGAATTCTATCTACAAACTCATGAGAAGGATGGAGAGGTGAATGAGAATAGTTGCTCACAAAATCTTGGAATGCTAGAATTGAAGGGTACCTCCTGATATTTCTAATTAATTGACTAAGTTTTTATTGAATAATTGAGCGCCTATTAAGTCCACCGTTAGACTTGATTGCTGTGATTTTACAACCAATGGTAAGAATGACAGTTTACATATTGGGTAATAAGTTTATTATTATGTTCATTACGTTCACTACGTTTATTATTTATTATTACGTTTATTACGTTCATTACGCCAAGAGAGTTGTCCATTACCCCACCTTACCTTCCGCAGCTGCCTAAGAAACACTGGGCCTGCTGGGCTGCTCTCTGCGTGGGCCCCTGACTTACCTGATGCCTCTTTCTTTGTAGGTCCAGAGCTCATCCACCCTTCATCCTTCTAGGTACAGCTTAAGTCTCTGTCAACCTCCGTCTTCAACCCCTTACAAACTAAGAGGATTCTTTATATACATTTTCCAGTCTGTACTGATGGATTCTTTCCCTGAATATTTACACCGCCAGTTTGCGGATTAACCTCATAATGAACTCACACTAAGCAAGCTAATCATTGCCGTATACGCGAATCTATTATTTTGAAAATGTATTAAGTTTTCTTGAATACTTCCCAGGTACCAGGCAGGAAGACTTGAGTTCATAATCTCATCTAAGCATCACAAAAACTCTGTGAAACCTGTATATTATACCCAGAAGCTGAGGCTCAGAGATGTTAGAAAATTTGCTCCAGGCCCAAGTGGCTGAGCCTGCAATATAACCTAGGTCTAACTCCAAGGACTGTACTCCTTAACTGCTACATCATTCTGTTTCAATTGTACTGTGTGTTTTCTTGCCCTGACTAGATTTTTAAGACTCGGAGGGCAAGGATTTTATTTTATGCTTTCTTTGTACTCTTTTTCAATGCTACACGAGCTGCTATATACACAGTGCTCAATAAATACTTAAAGAAATGCCAAAATGGAGCTGAAGCTAGCTGAAAATAACCAATTACTTCAAAAAGGATTAGATCCTCGACAGATTTCATGGGTGACGTATTCATAATGGATTATTGAAAGGAAACAAGGATATTTGCGTTCATCTTTAATCCCTGAGTTGTTTTGCTCAGAACCACTCGTTCGCAATCCCTTCAGTCCGGGAGGACTAGGAACCGAAAGCGCTGGGTGGGATTATGGGTCTCACACCCAGTGTGATCATTCTTTGACTCTTCGCTCCTCTTTTGTTCCCCAGAAAGCCCCAGCCTCAAAGGGCCTGTCTTCCTGCTGGAGCTTCTTCCTGTTTGGCCCTCTTCTTGTGAATTTAAAAGAGGTAAGGTACCTGGGGGAGGCAGGCATGGAAGTCCTGCAAAGCCAGGTGTTATCGGGAAAATGGAATTAAATAAGCTCCCTCCTCCAGGATTTCAATATTGTCAGAATTTCATGTTTAATCATTTATCATTTGTAGGTAGCTAGAGATATACCGCGGTGAGATTGGGACCTAGAAATCTACATGGGATCAATTATGCGCACAGGTGGTGGTTGAAATCACCTTCCTTTCTGTCGCGGACTGCATTACAGACCCCCCCGCGTTGTTAGGTCAACTATACTTTCATTAAAAATTTTTTTTTTTAAAAAGCAACATCGCCAGTTGAGGGTGCGAGCTGAGCGGAGGCGCCGGTGGCTGTCCAGCACCTGGCGTGGTCCTTGGGAAAGGCTGCAGGGCTGCGGGAGGTGTGTGGATTAGGGAGCCAGGCGAGGCCGAGCCGCAGGGAGTCGGAGCCTCCATGCTGTGTCCCCTCCACCTCTCACCTCCCCGCCCCCCAGTCACTGATTCCGACAATCAAGGCACAAAGGTAGAAAGTCCCAGGGGGTCTCCGGCCAGGAAGCCTCTCATTGTCCTGCTCGAGGTGAGCGAGGAGGAAAGGCCGCCCTCCCCCCTCCTCCCTCGTCGCCACGCTGGCCTTGCTGTCGCAAGTGGGAACGGTGTCAGGCCCCACGCAATCCCTTTTGCAGAGCGGAGCGTGTGTGCCTGCGGGTGCGCGCGCGCGTGTGTTTGTGTGTGTTGTGTCTGTGGTGTGCGGGGAGGAGGGCTGGGGGTGGGATTTCGTGACGTCGCCGGCTCCGCCTCCGGGGGTATATATGGGGCGCTTGGCGCGCAACGACCCCGAGCAGCAGCTTTGAAGCCTGAGCGGCCGAGCTGAGCTCTCCCGAACCAACTCGGCTCAAGTCCACCTCTCCTACGCCGACCCAAGGCTCCCCGCGCCGGGTAAGCCGGGGCGACACGTGCGTCGGAGGGGACGGCGGGGGGCCGGGCGTGCCGAGGCTTCTCCCGCAGCCGTGGCTCGCAGTAGCATCAGCGTGGCCGTGACCTGTTGCTGGCGAGACCCTGGCCCCGGGTTCGCATCTCCATCGCAGCCCCAGGCCGTTCCCAGCTTGGGCAGGAGGGTCCAGGGGCAGGGCCGGGTCGGGCCGGGTCGGGGCGCCCAGTGCGGGACCCCTCCGCTCCGGTGGGAGCAATTTCGGGCTGCTCCAGAGCCCTTCTCGGGGCGCATCACCAAATCCTTAGATGTCGAAGCCCCGCCTCACTGTAGATGCTCACAGGTCAGCCTAGCGGGCCGGGAGGAAATGGGGGGACATTTGCTGCCCGCCCTGGGCCACGGCCACGCAGTTCAGCGGCATGGGCTTGGTGACGGGGGATGGCATGGAGTCTCTGCTCACTTTTGATCTGCAGCCCAGGTCGGTCCCCCTCCCTCCCGGCGATCTGGGAACCACACCTATAGAGTGGCTCTGGGGGCGAGCAGCAAAGGACCGAGAGCTGGGCTCCTTCCTAGAGTTGCCTGCCCCTCCTGGGTTGAGTTCTGTTGGGTTCCTAAGGAGCCACAGCTGGCGGGGAGGGCGCAGACCTGTTAACATTAGGCTCCATGCTTCCTGAGTTGGGGTCCAGAATAACCCCCTCGCGATCTGGGAACCACACCTATAGAGTGGCTCTGGGGGCGAGCAGCAAAGGACCGAGAGCTGGGCTCCTTCCTAGAGTTGCCTGCCCCTCCTGGGTTGAGTTCTGTTGGGTTCCTAAGGAGCCACAGCTGGCGGGGAGGGCGCAGACCTGTTAACATTAGGCTCCATGCTTCCTGAGTTGGGGTCCAGAATAACCCCCTCCCCCGGACACACACACACACACACACACACACACACACACACACACACACACACAC